TCTTAAGTACTGACTAAAATATCATTTATAAAGTGCTGCAAAGGGGAAATTATGGTGTGTTGTGCTGAATTATATTCAAGTAATCGGGTTAGTGGAATGTAGTTTCTATTAAAAATTCTATTCTGATGAATGTTTGAATTTTTGAAACCACAAAACTTTTCAAACATAAATAGTATAACAATCTATGACTTCTCTACGTTATATGCATTCATTATTCACAATTAAATGGTTTGAAAACACAGACAATTGCTTCGTAAATAAACTAGATTTTCATATCTTACGATTTGTCATCTACAAAATTGATTTGGTAAAGATCGTTTTGATTTTACTAGTACTTTCAAGTTGATCAAATATGAAAATGATGCCGAAGTTATTCATTGACAACATCTCTATAACGTGTAAGTCACTGGAGACAAAGCTGTTGGATTTCTGATGTGAATGAAAAAGGTGACGATAACAAGAAAGGGCCGATCTAAAAATGAAACATATCGAGATAACGAACAGTATTCAAGATCAGAGTCCATAAAACAATTCAAAATAGGAGCAGAGCAAACACGGACCTCTAAAACATCAGAAGTGGGATCAGAGGCCAATTTAAGAGTGAGCATCCCCTGTCGACCGGTCAAACCCGCCGTGTGCTCCTTGTCATGATCGGGAAATGACGGGAAAATTCGTCGTCAATTCAGTGTATAAATGATGGACTAAAAATGAGTATAAAAGACGTCAGTCAGCAATTTAGCTCAAGATAAATTGCATTTGCTGGCAATTCAGGTCATTGTAACGACCATAGAACTTATGAAATGATGACTTTAAACGTGACTGCTGATATTCTTGGTCCATCAACTTGCTTGTCAATAATTTGCCTCGTTTTAGAAACTGTTCATACGTAGAGCATGCTCGTGCGTATTGAATCAACTGAGATACAAAAACTCCGTATTTGCAGGTGATGAAGGTATATTGCTGCATAAGTAATGGAAGTTGACGATAGAAAGGTTAAAGTCATCATGTTTATCATATAGCTTTGTTGTTAGATTATCATTAACGTCTTTTCAAGAAAAATATCCAAGTATGAAACAGTTGTGCCAGACTCTGTTGTATATTTTATCTCAAGCTTACCAGAATATATCGTATCGACATAAGAGTGGAAATTACAATTGTTAATTGCAAATCCAGGCCACAGCAAGTGTTTTCTTCTTTTCACACATAAGATTTTGCGCAAATTCTGCTTCATTCGAATACAAACGTCTGCTAATAACGGAGCACAATTGGTACCTATTAGAATTTCAATAGATAGTTGGTAGACCTGGTCTAAAAAAACAACATAGGTATTGTCAATCAGAAACTCAAGAATCTTTTTTTGATGTCGACATCAGAATACTTTTTGCAGAATCAGAATGTTTTTTAACAAAATAATTTTGCAAATGGCCAATGACAAGGTAAGTAAATTTACGAGTTACATTTCTATTGAAGAAGTAGCTGTCAATGATATCAAAAGCCTAGACTTTAATCTTTTGTGGGGAATGGTTGTGTATTAAGTTGAAAAGTCGTAAATTTTTAAGCTGTTGATTTTGGTAAAATCTTGTGATTTAAAATTGTCCAAAAGTTCCTTAGAACTTTTAAGTATAAACATCTCATTTACACCACTTCTTGAATATATTGTTGCACAGTGCTCTTGAAATTTCTTCTTCACTACTGTTAATATCTTAGTGAAAGAAAGTAGCTTGGTTGAACATTTACTGGAACCCGTTATGTATCTTTGTTTGCATGATATATCAACAAACAATACAAATATGTGAATAGTGTATAAACCAGAACCGCCAGAAATTTCTTAGATGGGATCAGAAACCTAGAAGGAAAAAGCATCCTTTGTCTACAGGTCAGAATCGCCGTCATCAGGTAGACAGAGCATTCCCTAATTAAATTTAATATATAGCAAAGCCCCATCTATATGGTATGTAAAGCCCCAGCCAATATCCGACATAATGATAGAATATATGTGCGTACCACTTTATTAAAAGACCATATATAGAATTTACAAAATGTTGACTTTAAAGGAGGTTGGTTATTGAAACACTGTCAGTAGCCTGCCTTAGTGTGAAAAGAAAATACAGTTGGATATCGAATATCGGAGATGCAAACCTCACAGCTGATGGCAGAATATGACAATTTTAATATCTTCAAAAACTTCTACATAAAAAGAAGAAAAACACTTATGTGACCTCAATTTGACATTCACATTTATCAATTAACACTAGTTTTTATTCATGCGTTGATTTGGTTTATGGCATTTAACTTAAAATAATACACTTTGGAGTTTGCTACATGTACAACATGCTTCATAATTGGAAGTTTTGATGACTGTAGACAATAAAGGCAAAAAAAATTACTACTGGTACACTGACAGATGTGATGACTTCAGGCTTTTCAATTTCGACTTCCTTTGTTCAAGTAACGGTTATAGAGTATCATATACATAATTATGATGGTTATGTCGATCTTCAGGCTGGTTTATCTGGTTCGGCACACAAAACATTCTCTAAATAGGTCTACCGACTGGTTGCATGGTGTTGCAGGGATCTCAACAACTCTTGTGAAAGTCAACTTTTGGCAAATTCGCAAAATTTACGCCAGTTTAAATGACTTGTTTCCGAATACAACATTGTTTGGTCGTATTTTGTCTGACATGCTTCAATCCATTTGTTAGGACATTATTTTTATACGAAACTGGACTACGGAATATAACATCGATCTATCCGTCTTTATGATCAATACTGGGGGCTTATGGCGAACGTGACCAGTAGACAGAGGCTGCTTATCATTAAATCTCTTAGGCACCCGATTACAATTCCTGGTACATTGTATTTCCAAAGCTCCGTATTCTGTCCCTGTTCATGATTTTTTTGTTTTTTGTTTACTGGATTTATGAGGTTGATCCTGTTTGATATCTTGAACTTTTTCACACAATAGCATCTCAGCAATCAAGAAGAACACAGGATAGATCTCAATTTTATTTTAACAGTACTTAGTGTACTAGACTGATAATGTCTTTTATCATATTAAAACTAAGTAGTAAATACACCGATTCTGCACGGTGTGATACGGATGACGTCACAGTAACCCATATCACGGACCGATCCGAAAATCCATATCACGTATCGGACCGGCGGGCAAAAAATCCATATCAAACCGTAAGTTACGTTTGTATAGAGTTTAAAAGTTAATTTACTTGATTTTATTTAAATATACATGTAAAATAATTCTTCAATGACGTTTGCGGACTTATTTTTTTCAGTTACCTAAAATTGGCTCTATTAGATTTTAAAGAAAAAGGTCATAAACATGTATGAAACATTCTTCAATAACTGTATGTGATTGAATTACAATCTTAAAATAAATCGAAATACCGTTTAATTCAGTAGATTTGAAATGCACGACGCATTCTATGTTAATTTTCATTGCCCCGCCCCATGACGTCAAATTATACTATTAAAAAAATAGTCCCATAAAAACACGAAACAAATTTAAAGAGTATTTATAGTTACTGTATTCAAATACATATATCAACATTTATGAAATAAACATCAGAGGAATTCTAAATTATGAACAAAGCAATCTTGTTTTTTAAATAAAACTTTTATTATATATGTGAAATAGATTTAGGTTGTCGGAAGCACGAATACGTGTATAGGCCCTTCTCCGCCACCGTTGCAGTTGATGAAACAGGAGTAGGCCAGGAAACCGATTTGTGTGGATGTTAATATAGCAGAGGAAGTTGAGTTGCTTACGAAGTCAGATGGTAATGACTGAGGGACGATATCTGTATCAGATGATGGAGTGTACAATGTATATATGTGCCGATTTCCCGACGTGATTCAGATGGGCTGTTTACGGAAGTTGAGTTTTCGGCCTCGCGAGGCCTTGGTGACAGTTTACAGCGTTGCGCTGGCGACTTGCTTTTGATCATTATTTATTTTGTTTGTATAAAGAAATATCATATCTAATTACTTAGTAAACAATTAAACAAAACATCTATATTTTTCTTCAGTTTATTTATAAGCCATTTACATACATGCAGGTTGACATTTGACCTTTCAATAGCATTTCACTAGAGAAATATACATACCACAGGTTTTACCACGAAATTAATAAGATGGGGTTTTGTAGTGTTTATCATAGAGAAAACAATTGGAAATGGAAACATTATATGATAAATAGAATACTACATACTATAATCCATAACATATGTCATATCACCCTCGGGCTAATATGACATATCATATAGATTTTAAAGCATATATTATCTTAAACAATAAAAGTATGTCATTATATAGATAATATATAAAAATTAAATATAAGATTGATTTAATAGTTTATTACAACAATCCTTACATGGAAAACATAGACCAAGAAACTTGTTGACAAACAGCAGTTCCTGACGGGAAGTTAAGATCTGTTTTGAAGTCACCTTTGAAAAAAATACTTTTATCGGTTATATCTTATTATGAAGATAATTCAAACCCGAGTATTTTTTTTTCTATTAGTAGAATCCTTAGTAAGTCATGATCGATATACCTTTTAAAAATTAAGAAATTAGCTGAATACAATCCATAGTAATTTTTATATTGATATGCATATTTACAGAATAAAGGAAAATCAGATATTTAAAAAGATTTTTAAAATGGGAGTTTAGTAACAAGGGCTAGAATATTGCCCGTGTACACTTTGTTGTGGAAAAAAATCATCGGGTTTGTTCTTCATGAGTTATACATGTAAGCGATAAATTTAATTTTTCGAAGGTGATTTCACGCAATGTAAACAAAGGATTATTTTTTGTGTGACCTAACAAAAATTATTTTTTTAACTTTTGAATTTTGATATCTTTAAAAAGAAAAAGACTTTGGGGATATAATTTGACAAAAGTTGAAATAATTTATGGACAATTATTTTTCAAGAAGAAAAACGAATATATTTTTTAGCGATTAGAATCGGACCAAGCGGCTTTAATATGTAGTACTTTCTATTCTTAATTGAATATTTTGTAACGAAATCTGAAAATACTTTTTCTATGGCATTCGATTTATAAACAAAGTTTAGCTGTGTCATTAAAACAGCTCCCACCAGGGCAGATCTGAGTATATGCAATATTATATGCACATTGGAGATAATGATAACAGTCTCTTGGATGTGGATATTCGCCATTGCCTTCGCTACAGGGATTTGCTAAAATGAAAAAAGAACAATTCTAGGAATAATTCCATATACATGTATATACATTTGTACACTTTAAAACATTTAATGCCATCTAAAGCTGTTCTTATCCATAGAAATATATAGAATTTTCAAAATGAATCAATTCAACAAATTACGTAAAATTATCAATAAGTAGTACACTTGAAAAATAATTATTTGTAATTGTTTAACTTGCATTTCAAAGTCCTATCATAGAATCATTTTCATTTTATAGAATATATGCTGTAGTGTTATAAGATTTACCTGGGAGCGGAATAACTAGAACTTCATTTGACGTTGGAGTAGGATCTGTGTTTTCCAAACTCTCGATATTTTGAGCCAGACATCGTATATACTGACCAGTCAAATTATCTTTTGTTAGGTCTATTGAAAACCTTAGAATCAAATGATAATTACAGTTTTCATAAACCGGCGTGTCGAAAGATTGAGTGGTGGGAATGTATTTGTTGTATGTTGCTAGTGAACCATTCCTTATCTCCAACTCAAGGGATCCCTTAGGATTTCCAACATAACCTTTGCAAGTGTGAAACTTCTGGTTTTTACCCATCTCTAACCTATAGTCAATGTCTAGGACGGGTGTTATTGGTTTAACTACAAAGTAACAAATTGTACAATGAATGATAAATCAAACAAGAATATAAAAGGGAGGGGGAGAGAAAGAGTTAACTAACCTTTCATCAGAGGATTTGCTGTAACAGAACTTGAAACTTCTCCTCCGTTGTAGAGTTTAAATACATAATCTACAGAGTTATTACAGTTCAGGTTTTTAACAATAAAAATCACAGTTTTTCCAGTTAAAGAACCTTGAAATGTAGAAGAAGAATCGCCAAAATATATAACTGTTGTATTTTCAAATATTGACATTATCATTCCTTTGTCATTAGATACAGATATGAAGTCAAAGGAGGAAACGTTTAGTGAACATGGAATTGTTGCACTTTCTCCTTCGTATACAGAAGGCGATGTACAATTGAGAGCTACAAAAGAAAATATACATTGAATTTTCGACAATTCGAAATCTCTTTAATTATTTTTGTTAAAGTACATTTCTAACTTAAACTATCAGTCTAGAGCGAGGAAAGAAATATAAATAAAAAACAGATCCAGCATAAAACCGTTAAATACAATGAAGCAAAGGTTTAGAAAGCCTGACATTGATAAGAATAAGTAAAATTATTTGATTTTTGCAATATACTCTTTTAAAGCATACATTATATGAATCCTTATTTTAAAAAAAAAAATAATTAGAATTACACACTTACAACGAGGACCAGATATTGGAGTTGTTTCAGAACTTGATAAAGCGGCTTCTAAATAATAGGGAAATCAAAGTGTGATGAGAAAAAGCAATTGTAAAGAAATTGTAATGAATGAAGCAGGTCTAAAAGTCTTCTGATAAAAGAATATCAGCCCTAAATTAAGTGAACTTACATGTATGTAGTTATGTTGTGACTATATTTTTATAATTTGAATAACAAAAAGTTCATTCATTTATAATAAATACTTTAAGAGGGCTCTCTACACCTATAAAGTATAACTGATTTTTGTTGCATGCATTTGTTTCTAATAATAGGCCCCATATCCGATAAAATAAGGTTCCAAAGTACTTCAATTTATTTTTTAGAAATATTTGAAATATTTTATTTATTTTGTTAAAATTCCTCCTATCTATATTTTTAAAAGCCCAGTGCTTTAAATTTCTCTTCAAAGTTTAGTGTTATAAAATATTGAAATAATAACCAACAAAGATAAAAATAAAATCAACATAATTTTTATTTAAATTTACAAAAATAGACAAAAGAAAAACTAAAACAGCATTTTCTTGAGAATAGCTGGTTGGATCCTCTTCAATATCTGCAAAGATATATAATATCAAAGGGTAAAAACAATGAAAAAAAAAATTGAAAAAAATTGAAAAACTGTCAAAAATTTATAAACATCCCAAAAATTCAGGTGTGAGAGATCCGCTTTAAGAATGGACTCAAATATCTTGGTACTGTTTTTTTTTATATAAACTTCAAATAAACTCTACTTGCACAAGTATACTGACACGCAAAAGAAACGCAACAAGCAGTAATCTACAAATGTTTGATTTTTTTAATCTTATGATATTCAAAAGCGAATAAAGTAAGGCTAAACTCACTTTTCAGAACATCAGAGATTTGATAAAAATGTTAAACGTTTATCTATTTACTTTACTAAGTAAAATATGACTGTTAAAACACCCCCCTCCCAGCCATTCAAGTAAAACGTGCAAGACTGCCCTAAACAACAATTGCAGCTTAATTTCTACGATACAATAGGTTCATTAATATCGAGATCTGAGCGAAGGAATTATTCTTTTGCATTTTTAAATGCCCATTTTTCAGATGATTAGGTCGAATTTTCTCTAACTTAGAGCAGTGTAGCCACCCTTGGACTTCCGGTACAAGGACTGTCCTTAATGCATATGATACGTAAGACCCTGTTGAGGCGTAATGCAGTGAAATTTCGCATCAGCAACTCTCCATCACCTTTACTTTGAAACTTTCTAGCTAGAGCAATGGAAATGCGTACATAAGCCATTTTCAAGTAGCCTTAGCATCTTTACGGGAAACGAAAGGAGAGTTTATCTCTTGAAATATTGCTACATTACTTATGATGAACAGTTAAAAACCCTTGAAACTCCATAACATTGCCAAATGTTTTGTTAAACATGCAATTTTTGATTTCTGTTAAGCAGACTTAAACTTGACTTCCGGTTATGGTATGGAAATCGTTCAACCGTTAAATTACCGATGTTTACCAAATTGAAGATATTCATAATTCTAAAATACAAAATTCTTTACTTTACATAATTTTTCCCCCTAAAGTAGGGTGTTGCGTTTCTTTTGCGTGTCAGTATATTAAACAAATGTCACGCAAGGACATTGAAAGAAGTTCGTATTGTACATGTATTGTTTTTCAATGAGTTTAAGGGAAAATCATCGCGTTTCCAGTCAATGACAAAGACATATATTTAGTGAATTCATGGTATTGAGAAAGGTAGATTTACTTACCGTTTTTATCCAACTTGCATGTGTTATCCAGTGCTATATATAACAAGTTAAGATGGTAAATGGCCAAAAGCGATAAAAGAAATTCCTATAACCAAATGTACACTTCGTCTAAAACCCGCACGTTTCCCATACTTGTAAACAGCTGACAATCAATGGTGATCAAATGTTTGGGTCATGCGAAATTTCACCGGGTATAACCATTCATTCGGGTGTATACAAATCGAGAACAGAATATCCTCTAGTCGATGGGAAGATAATACATATGTCTTATCTTATCAAATTTGCATTTTTGGGGGGATATATTTTGCTGAAAAGCATATATGCTTATTGGAGAAATAAATTTCTGAGTGTATGGCGTTTTGACACGTAATGATGAATTAGCATATGGACAAGCCATGCTTTATATCATTTTTTTCTCATCTAAAAATCCTATTCTAATAAGTTTGTAAATGTATTATTTAATAATTAAAGAAGCAGAAATTGAATAGATTGACAAACAATTCATTTTTAAAGAAAGGATACGTATTGGGCAATACACTGTATTAATTGATGTGATATATTGTACATTCCATCCACAATATCGCATGTTGTGTTATACTCAGTAATGTATCGGTGTTAAGTGAATTTGAATCTGATCATTTGGGATCAAAATGGCGTTTTTACGGAAGTACGCCATGTTGTGACGTTGTAGAGAGCCCCCTTAATCCTCTTTGCATTTAAACGTCGAAATGCATAATACCTGTAGTTGTAACTACTTCTGAACATACAGCAATAAAACAGTGATCACAATACGTTCTGCCAATGTACACACACAAATTAGGTTTACAAGTTCTTCCATAAGGTTTCCCTCCGCTGCATTGTATGAAGGTGTTACAAAAATCATCTTTTTCATGGTCAAAATAAATTTCTTGATTGTTTGTAGAATTGCAGAATGATCCTGAAAATATTTTCCAATAAATATTCAAATACTTTTCTCTTTTTGTAACACATGTGAAAGATCCAAATTATGTTATCCACTTCAAAGTAAATTCAATACAAAGAATATTTAAATATATACTAACAAGCGTAACAAGACAAAATGTATCTATTTTTACCATCAATAACATAAAAAATATCGTCTTTGGTTGCCTTCTGAACTGACCCATCCTGAGTTTTAACTTCACAGATTATTTTTCCTTTGTTCCAGTTCTTTGTAGAATTTATTGTGAAAGAAATTTTCTCCATATTTTTGCACTCATCTTTAGTGAAAGGTTCTAAAGTTCTTTTTATTTTTATTTCGTTGCCGGAAATAGTCCTTGGACTATTTTTATTAAGCGTTATATTATAGTTTATGAAAGGATGAACAAAGGTAATCTCTAAATGACCTCCAACTTCCGGGTAGCCAACAGAACCAAGGCAATAATGAGTTCCGGAATCTCTCCCTTCAACAATATCTGGGTCCACAAACAACTCAACACTTGAGGAGCCAGGTGAGGCTTTAAAAAATATAAGGATTATTGAAAATAAATTCTCCTGTGTTAGCAATTAGAATTTTAAATATACGTATAAAAGGAAAAACAGTCAGTATAAAGACATTATGTTCCACTTATTGACTTACTTGTTACCTGAACGTCAAGTGAAAGAGGAGGCTGCTGTTCCGAATCATCATCCATGATCACAGTACAATTATACTGCCCTTCGTCAGAGCACATTACTGATGCAAATATCAAGGTTAAAGCATTGCTGCTGAAATTTGCATCAACCCCGGCTATACTTTGTACTGAATCAGATAATAATGTATACGAAGCCATTTCTATCTGTGATGTGCTGTTGATTATTTTTAAGATCTTTATTGCTTTATAAAACCCAGTACTTCTTATGAGACAGGTGAAGTTTGATTTACTCTGTGCTTCTGCTTTTAATATATACGGATTAAAGGCAACGTCTGAAAAAAATGTGCTGTTATTTTTAAAAGAATCAATACTTATCTCATATTAATGTAATTATAAATATAGGGGAAATTATCATATAGCAATTACAGTTAAAAATTTTTAAGCTTCTTCGTCCATGCGAAGTCCCAACGTATCATTAAACCAAAAACATAGAAAAAAGATACTGACATTAAAAATATTCTGTTTCAGTTTTACCTGCCGACTGTATCTGAACATTTCCTTCTTCGGAGACTTCTGGACTGATTTCGTTGTACAGACATTTCAGCTTTGTTCCGTTTAGATTTGCTGAGACAAGCAACCCCGTATCAAACCTCGATATCACTGATTTAGTACAGTTTTGAGTAAATGTTTGTAAAATAGTTTGTTCTCCTTGTACTTTTACATATGAATTGTCGGATGGAACCTTGTAATATCCCAGAAGTTCGGTATGGTCAGAGTCCACTGTAGCCATACAGTTAAATATTAAGGGCTTCCCTTCCTTGTACAACGATTCACTATTGATTGTAAGCTCTTTCACAGGAACTGCAATGCAACCAAATACAATCATAAAGATAACTTCAAATATTTTATAACTCAAACACTGGATATGTTTCATATCATTATTTTAAATCAAAAGATGCCCATCTTATTCAACTCTTATCATGCTGTTATTTTAATTTCACGAAATATACGTGATTGTTTTAATTTTATATGTGTAAGATATAAAATATCAAACCGGTAATTTTTTTTTGCCTTTTGATTTAGAGTATCAAATTAATATTATCAGATTACTTGATCATCAAAATGAGAACAAGCAACTTAACGGGGTCTTGATGAAAAGGATGAAAATATTGAACGATGATTGATTTTTTGAAAACCTTTTACGCCACAGTAATCGAAGATTCGGGAGTGTATAGCTTTTGCGCTTTTGTAACTCAAACACCGGTAGTGTTTCATATCATTATTTTACATCAAAAGATTCCCATCTTATTCAACTCTTATCATGCTGTTATTTTAATTTCACGAAGTTTACGTGATTGTTTTAATTTTATATGTGTTAGATATAAAATATCAAACCGGTAATTTTTTTGCCTTTTGACTTAGAGTATCAAATAAATATCATCAGATTACTTGAACATCAAAATGACAAAAAAAAACAAGTAATCTTGATGAAAAGGATGTAAATGTTGAACGATGATTGATTTTTTGAAAACTTTTGTCGCCACAGTAATCCAAGATTTGGGGTTTTATAGCTTTTGTGCTATCCGTCTGTGCGTCTGTTTGTCTGTCTAACTATCTGTTTGTCGGCAAAAACTTTAACCTTGTTCATAACTTTTGAGTGGGTGGGACAATAAATTTCCTATTTCAAAGGTCTATTCCTTGTGACAAGACCTTTTTCGGGTATCACCTCCTTTGAGCTTATGACCTTTGAGGTTTTTTTTTTTACAAATAGTTACCAATTTTTAACCTTGGCCATAACATTGAACAGTTGATGCTAGGGTTTTTCATACTTCATATGTATTTATTTAAGACACTTAAGTGTGTATAAATAATTTTACCCTAACCTTAGAGTTAGGCCGATTTTTGAAAAAAAAAAATAAATCTTGGACAATACTTTTGATCAGTTTGGAAGAGAAATTTTATATTTTATAGATGTATTTCTTGTCACAAGACCTTACTTTGGGTATCAAAATATCAAATCCATATTTCTTTCAGTTCTCGAGACATGAGGTCTGACAGACAGACAGCTAGACGTACAGACAGATGCCGAGTAAATTGATCCCTTAGTGCGCTCTGCTCTCAGACGGCACAAAAAGGAGTAAGGCTTACCAAAATTATCAAAGAAGAAAGCTGAGATTGATGGCTGTGTGTCCATGGAGACGTTTGTGTCTGTCAGGAGGTATTTCCCTTCCTCCGAACATGAAGTCGAAGCGATGATAAAATGAATATATTTAGAACTCACAGAGAATGTTGTACTTAAAACTGGTGTTGATCTTGCTTGATTTTGAATTGATCCATTAGGTAATATCACGCCCACATTTTCTTCCTTATTTCCATTAGAAGATGCAGTAAATGTTACATTAAGGCTTTGGAATGTGTCATCGATGACTGTGCAGTTGATTGTGATAGGTAAACCTTCTTTTTGAGAGACATCAGAACATTGTACATCTGTAATGATTCAAATCATTAGGTCGCGGACAACAATTATCCTCCTAATTCTATTAATAGAATTCAAATTGGGAACTGAACTCACAAGGACCTTTAAAAACAGAGGTAGTAATTATATATAAAAGCTCTCTCATTTAAGACAATTTGCTAATAGAGCAAATATATATTATATATATATGCAAGGGGTTTTTCTTGGATTACTCATACAATATTATTTTAAAGAATTCTTACATGTTTTTCCTGGAGCTAGTGTAGATGTAGTTGTTACTGGTTCTGTAATAAAATTTATGCAAATCAGAGACATACATAAGGGGTATATGATAATTATACATATTTACTACAGTAATAGTTTAAAAAGCTTTTATGTGCAAAAACCAAATATATAATTATTATGTGATATAGGGTCCTATATTTTCAGTGATTTGTGTTTTTGTTAGAATCATTTTTACGTTTTATTTCTTACCAAGACTTTGGCAGGTAAAGTTTTCGTGACAGTCAACACAGTACCCAAGACTGAAGTCAATGCATTTACCGGGAGTTCTACAGCTGTCTCCTGTTGCACACATACGGCCACCGTCCTCAACACAATTAACGAAGTAATAACAATCGTTATTTGGATGATTTCGTTTTGGTATATCTTCGTAACCAAAACAATATTCGTCTGCATGAAAAAAGATAATATTCAATCATAGTTTAAAGATACTTGGACACAGATTTGAAGTTAATATTTTCTGTCTAATATCACAAATTATATATTTTAATAGCATTTCACACAAAAATTAATTCATTTAAAAGTTATTAAAACTTCAAATCTTTTGGCGGGTTTGATTGACACATCCTGGCACTTTCACATATTTTAACTTTATTCTTAATCCTTCAGAAAAGTGGCAATCTTGTTGTGTATTAATGAGAAATATTAAAACTTTAATCCAGAAAAATAATTTTATTCAGAGTAGAAATGTTAG